GATGTCGGTTTAGACAGGTTAATCTAACCATTATGTAGTGTTCCACACGGTCTTTGATTAGACATGTTAATCTGACAAATATATGGTATCCCACAAGGTGTCTTATTAGACAGGGTTTACTTTATAAAAACGTCATCAAAAAGAATAGTAAAGTATTCAGGATTTTGAACATTTGCCCACAGAGGATAGAATGGTATGTGCGTGTGTTAGGAAGGAGTTTGGGCGAAGAACCGAGGCTGATGGCTAACGGATACTTGTAGATGACAACTGGCATCAAGTTATACTTACATTACCGTTTCTTGAAAAGTACAAAAAGAAAGTGTGTTAAAAGGATTTGAAAGCAAATTTGATCACTGTCATATTGACACTTCTATTTCCGCCTCGCATAACGTGAGATCACCGTAAGATACAAACATCTAGGTGACTTGAGGCTTTTCCATGAATATCGTTTCTACTGACGATATAGACACTCCAACACTACAAATATTAAAAAATATTTATATCACTATTCATTACAACACTTTTAGGATGTATACTACACTTGTTTTCTGGTTAAAAAGAGTGTTACCAACTTGCGTTCATACCAACATGAATATCGAAAAAGCTGTTTAATGAAATTTGAGAACACTAAATAACAGCTATTTTATGTATTCTCTGTATTGTTAGCGTTCTACTATACAGATGTTCTACTGGGAAATACAACCGATTCACTAACACCAAACGGACTAGTTTACCTATGAGTTTCATCATGCATATGTACGTGTAGACACTCCCAGCGTGGTCACACGTGGTTAAGTGAGAGTCGCAGATGAATGACATCAATTGTATTTAAAATTAAAGCATAAAATGTATCTATCATGTAATAAATGCATAAGTGCAAAGGTATGTTGAATAACTCTCCCATTCACTCAACCCCTGGGGTATTTATGCTTAAATAGGTTGAGTAACCCTCCCTTCATTCACTCAACCACTTGGGTATGTATATGTTAGGGAGAGTTGAATAACCCTTCACATTCACTCAACTCCTGGGGTATTTATACGTTAGGGGAGAGTTGAATAACCCTCCTCCCTTTACTGGTTGGTGGGTTGGTTTACGGGTTTTTTCGCCTAAGTGACTCCACCCATACGGGTTTCAGCTCACTGACGGAGGTTGGTGTTCTGTCGGCGTTCCCTTTACTCCATCCTTCGGGTATTTATACTTGAGTGGGGTAACTAACCCTCCCCTTACTCTTCTCCTGGTTTCTGTTAACTCCATAGGATGTGGGCATTTGGTTAAACCTCTCATTACACACTCAATCCCCGGGATACATTGTCACATTTACCGAAGGGTATGTTTATTAGTGGCCGGTTAATAACCCTCCCATTTACTCCAGCTGCGGATAACTAGCCCTTACCTTTACGGTGTGTTAACTAGTCTGAGGGTTACTATCTTCATTATTCCACCCCTGGTGTATGAACTTTTTTCTGTTCCATCTCAGAGTATGATGTCTAGGACCAATACGAGCAATTGAGATAATTAACGGGTACTTATCACGATAAATGTCCCTCTCGCCTGATTCTTGTAACGGAGATCTTATCAGGTATACGATATAATGTTGAGACCAGAGACGTATATATTATAATATATTCGTCTCTGTTGAGACAAAACATCTTGATCAATATTTGTTTCTCATTAAATAAGATTAATTAAGAAAATATATGCAAAACGACAGTTGCGGCTTTAGACCACATACTTAATGTAATTTATCTCCCCTGTTTTCGATTTAATTACCTTTTTTTATCACAATGTATACTTTTTCCAATACTTTGGTGTAAATGTTGACAGTATGTATAAACTTTAACATTTTAGAGACAATATCTCTACTAATTACATGTTTACAACTAATTGTTTGCTTAATTACACGTGTAAAATACATTAAAAACCATTAATATCTTTATACAAATCACTAAGTCCTATCTAGTACCGATCTCAGATTGTCTACATATCCGGAGGACAATATTAACTACAATATCAGCGCCGCAATATAATCAATGGCGGGAACGGATTCACTGGCTGTTGCTGATGCTGAAGAATGGCTGATGACGCGGGCTGTCGTTGCTGAGACTCTCCTCCCTGACCGGCTTGGTGTGTGGTGGTATCATAGTGGGAAGGAAACCGGTGATAAAGATTGTGGTATTAAAGTACGGATCATCTGATGTCAACTCCCGGGAGAGCAGTAGGGAGCGACAGCACAGAGATACCGATATGTTAGGAGGCCATGTTCTCAATCTTAATCAATTAAATCCTATGCTCTTTTATAGAAACTTATTTAATAGAAAACACCGCATTCTGTTACATGTTCTTTTCCTTTTCAGGCTATTTTAGATAGATCGTTGTGTGAAATATAATAGATTTCAATTCTTTTTCAATTTAATTTCTTGTCAATGATTATTAAACGATAATACTGAAGTTTTATTTGTTTCAAATTTTAGTTATTAGATAAGCCATTTTTAAGACTTCAAATTAAATTTACGTCATCATTAGAATCTTACTGAATTTTTAGAATCGTTTTATATAATGATATAATTCAAATTCAAACATTTGAAGATTATATATCACATTCAAATAAATTATGATGAGGAATTGTTCGAATTTACTTTATTCTATATAATACAGAAGTATAATGATGCACGAAATTATGTGTATTTACATGTCGGTTTAATCCTCACGAACGAAACTTGTTTTGTTTTTATTATTATCGGTTTCTCGATACAATATTTTACGATTCTTAGCATCTTCGGAAGTCTGCTTGCTTACGTTGGTATGACATGGAGATAAGGTAATCCTTCTGTAACAATACCTGGGGTGGCCCGGTTTCGAGGATGGCATCTCAACACTTGGTCAGGTTTGAATTATCTTCTGTATAAAATTGTGGTATAGATTAATCTGTCATGGTGAATTATTTTAAATCCTTATAAACATATATTGTTAGAAAACTCATAGTTATAATGTTTCAGAAAAATGCGTAAAAGTAGAGAAAGATATGAAAAATGTAACAGGGTTGGTATGCACTGAAATCTAGGAACATTGGTAAATAATGCAAACTATGAATTCGTTTATTTATGCCCAAAACGTGTGAATATTTTATTACCACCTTGCAATTTGGAAACAAGTGAGGACTTGAAATATATACAAGCTTTGTAAGTCTAGACATTTTTTATTTATTGGAACCTTTCAATTCTGATCTGGACTCTATTTATTTGGTAGTTTGGTTTGGTTTGTTCTATTAGCACCTATGGTCATGTAAGTGGTGGTGGAGGAAAACCGGAGTACCTGGAGAAAAACCACCGACCTGCGTCCGTGCCTGGCGACTGCCCGTACAACTTCAACGATCCGAAATCATTTTATACAGTAAAACAACAATTATATGGACCTTTTATAAAGCGGTACTCTCATAATGCAGAGTCCTTATATGAAGTAAAACATATATTATCCGAAATATCTTTATTCAGCGGAACATTGATGATCCGGAATCTCGAATTATCTTATACCAAAGAACCTCGATAATCCGGACTCTTTCTTTAAAGAAAAGACCTACTGTTCTGGACATATTTTATTCAGTGGATTTTCCATTAAGAGGTTTATCCTTTCTATACCAAAAAAATCTATTATCCGGATTTATTTATACAATGAAACCTTCATAGTCTGGACGAGTTAAACAGTTGGACCACGTTAATACAAATAAAGGATCACTGTTATCTAAAAAACTGTCATCAATAAATTATTTAATCAAATGTAATACATTGTTTAATAGAAACTGATATGATAATACTTAATGGTAAAACTAAATAAAAAATGAAAGTAAAAGTTAAACAAATCAAAATCCCTGAAGTGTAAAATATCGATTAAGATAATTTAGTGAAACCTGCCTATTTCGACTCTTTAGTAGTCAGACATTCTGTTAAATTCAACATAAATAATTGACATCCTTTATAAAAAGCTACCAGATAAAACCTGTATATAATCAGACAAATGTTTTGTAAAATGCAGGGAGTCGGATTGACAGATTTATCTGACCAATACAATGTGTCCTCCATATTGTGTCGGATAGGACAGGTTTTATTAGAATAATATATTGTGTCCCACACGATGTTGGACTTTGTCAAACAAGAAGTTGTCGGAATTGACAGGTCAATCAGACCAATCTGTTGAGTCCAAAAGGCTTCCGATTAAAACAAAATCCCCTACAAATTAGTTATGTTGCATTGAGTCGGATTATACAGGTAATTCTAACCAATGTTTAGTCTAAAATTGTGTCGGATTATACAGGTAATTCTAAGCAATGTTTAGTCTAACATTGTGTCAGATTATACAAGTAATTCTAACCAATGTTAAGTCTAACATTATGCCGGATTATACAGGTAATTCTAACCAATGTTGAATTACATATGGTGTCGGATTATACAGGTAAATTTAACCAATGTTTAGTCTAACATTGTGTCAGATTATGCAGGTAATTCTAACCAATGTTTAGTAATTCCAGCCAATGTTTTGTCTGACATTGTGTCGGATTATACAGGTAATTCTAAGCAGGATGTTTTGCCACAGCGTCGGATTAGACAGATTCACGACTTATCATAGAGTGTGTTAACGCTTATTGTTTATGTATTTCCATTTTCCATCGATTTAATTTCATCAGGAGTTGATGAGACTCTCACCCCTAGTCGTTGATGATTAATTAATCACTGTACTTCTACAGGGTCAAAGATATCTGCAAAAAAACATATCTATACATTTCACGGAATTAAACTTTCATAAATCTTTGCATTCTATCATCCGCCTGTCATTGTAAACCAAACCTTTATCTGTGTTTCACGACGCTCTTGTCTCTCTCCGCCGATAATGGGATATTAATTATTCATGGTTCCTTTTCTATTTCTGTAGATGCGTATGAATAGAGAGAGTTCTAGAAACACATTACTTTTTTTCTGAAAATATTACACAAACACGTAGCTATATGTGAAAGTTTTTCAATTTTATTACGATGATAACCATATATTTTCATTATCAAAATGAAAAGGGATGTAAAATCGCTTAAAACGTAATTGAAAAGAAACGTAGAAACAATTTTGTAACGTACAAACTACATGGGAACATACGTTAACGACATACAAAGACAGGATAGCGTAAGGTCCAGCTTCAGCTGCTGGTAACATCGTTAACCCTCGTTTAACTCAGAGGAGTTTCTGTTGAAAAAACCCTGACTATCGGAAAACAAAAAAAACAAACAAAATGTGTTGTTCAACAAATACTCTCACACATAATTGATTTAAACAAATAGTAAATAAACTTGTCTTCTGTCAAATCAAATATCAAAGCATTGAGAAATAATAAAATGTATGTGTATTGCACCAAACGTAATGTCGCTCCCATAACAGGAATATATAGTTCTGCTATTGTGAAACGTTTCAATGATTTTTCAGTAAGACTTGTACATTAATTTTAATTTTGTCAAGCATTTCATTTGAATTAAGTATGAAAGAGACATTTCATATTTCGTTTTCAGTTTCAGGATTGGTTCTTAAAATATCCAGTACACATATACATATTTCTGGGCTCAGTTTAACAAGTGCCTCACTGAAAATGTTCAAACTAGTTATTTGAAATTGATCCTTTCATTTGTTTCACAATAACCAAACGATAAATTGTGTTGGCTGTTAATTGTTTTCAAAAAGGGTGTAACGATGAATATTTTTCACGCCAAATTGAATGCCTTTATGAGTAATGAACAGTTTTCTTCATTATAAGTAGAAAATTATGTATGGAAATTGCCTAGCTCTATTTCGTTTGAGTACTGAGAAAACATGACAGTATTTCACATTGTAACATGACATAAGTGTTTAATCAATAAATCATCCAACAAAAAATATCCCTTTAACAATAAAATGTTCACTTAACAAAGATAATAATCTTACATATCAGATTTAACATGAAGGCCCCTTGTCAGGGCGAAACTATAATCCCGGACAAAGTAGTTTTCCCGGGGGTATATTTGGAAACAAATATTTTTTGACCCCTTCGAGCCAGTGATTTTGATAACAATAGAAAGGGCGTCTTATCTGTTTGAAATCTGTGACAGAAATTGATACCTATCATTTCCCACTGCCGTGGTAGTGAAATCAACAAGCTGTCTGTTACCGTCACTTCCCTTAGATATGAACTCGGAAATACGTTCAATAGTTTTATTACTGTTTTCAGGTCTGCCCGCTCCATTTAAAATACATGAAAATCATATTCTCAAATTACTTGACGATAACCAAGTATAAAAAATGACTGATAAAAATTGCAATGAATCTTTTCGAACATGATATGCTAAATATTTGAAATGAAATCGTTCTGCTTCAACAACCGAATATTTTCACGTGATGTTTGAATAATGCAATGCGTGTTAGGATATACACTGAGAAACATTTATTATTAATCTCATCTATTATTTTACGTAGAATTCAACCATTTCTAAAACCAAGTTTGAAAAAAAATAAAAGGAATAGTGTTTCGTTGTGTATTGCGTATTCATGTATTCAAATACATGTATTATGCGTTTTAAACAAAATATTACAAATAAAAAAAATTGTCTTCCTTTCATAATCTGAAAACTAAACTGCTAAAGAATCTTGCTGCTCTCAGTCAAAACGCGACATGAATTATTTATTTAAAATATAACCTTTTAGATTTAGTTTGAATAAAATTTCATTTAAAAAGTTCATCAATACATTTACATTTTCCTCCTTCCTTTCAAAATAAATACGCACCTTATGTCATCACAGCTAACTGTCATAAATACAAACATACTTTTTATAAATCATTTCGTGCGGAAGTTTGTCTACAATATGGGGAGATTTCCATCTTTTTGTCTCCTGTTACAAAATATGGAATTTGTCCTTACTTTTGTTATTGTGATTTCTAAAAACATGATTATTTCAAACCAGATATATATAGCTCCTCAACATGGATACCTTACAAGGTATATCAATTTTCAAATCAGAAAATAACGGGAAGTAATTATCTTCAATGGATAAAAAAATACAAAACAGAATGTAATTGATTTCAACTGGAAATTTAAAGAAAGGTTAACAGTTTGCAAACAACCTAAGTAATCAATTAGCACTATTAAATATGATAAACAATATCGAAAATTTCATCACATTTTGTTCTAAAATAAGTACTTTTATAACAAGAGCATAGTGAAAAATAAATAACAAGACATAATACAAGTAAACCGTTCAAAGGAGATCATTCACCAGTAAATAGACCAAGTCTACTTAATTTCTGATCAAAGTAAATATTGATTTAATATCAAAGTCAATATCATCTGACCGATATTGATGACTGAACACATTAAATTGAATAGAGCAGTCTCCACTTTGTTTACAACAAAGGAACATTTCATGTGCTGAAGTGTATGCTATCGAGTTCGGATGGGTCTTTGAACACGATGGGCAACCTTTATGCTGCTGAAACTAGCCCATATCAACGCCGGAGCCTGTATTAGCACCATACACAAGTAAAGTCCAGCATTACTTACGGCATGTCCAGTTGTCCGTACTTGACCGGAATGTTGATATTGTCCGACCATTCGAACGTATCCCTGCAAACATGGTCTGTTCTCGGACTGCCATTGGAAAATAAAGTCACGTGATCACTAAATAAGTTTCCGCTGCACGTGCATTTGTACGGGCGCGTGACGAGTTTTCGAACAAACATTTACAGAACAGTGCTAGTAGTAACTTATTTGCAGGATTTAAGTTGTTACCTCTTATGTACTGTTCAGCATATCACGTGATTGTCCGTCAAACGTCCGAGGGTCCGGGCCGGGACCACGATGACCAGTAAGTGACCAGTAGTAATTACATTTTCCCGCGCGCTCCGGATGTCCAGAGGTGTTTACATCACAGCAGGGTGTCGGTAATGGTCTTCTGGTTTCACTAATACATAAGCAACCGGTCTATGCACATCCTGCGAAGGGAGGTAACCTGGGGGGCAACAGGGCACCAAATACTGTCCCGGGTGGGAATGAGCGGCCGGGGGTAGTCCACTCAGGGCCGAAGCCGAGGAGTGAGGAGGAAGATACGGTGAACCATACATACTTGACAATTCTTGAGATCGAAGTGCTCCTAGTGAAGAACTGTCCAATTTCCCAGCACTATCTAGATGTGGGTAGAATCCGTGTGTTGATGTGGGTGGTAAAAACGCTCTCATTTTCTCACTCAAACTAAAAGAAGCCGCGCTCCCCATCATCCCCTCAGCTTGACTTGCCATGTGTCCGAAACCCGGGGGCATTGCTCCGAGGGTTGGTCCGAATCCCCCTAACATTGGAATAGGGAAAGCATATTTGTCCTTTTTTAGAAGGGATTTCGGCTTCCTCCTGGGCCTATATTTGTACTCGGGGTGTTCTTTCATGTGTAATGCCCTTAATCTCTTGGCTTCATCAATAAAGGGCCGTTTGTCCTCCTCGGATAAAAGTTTCCACTCCGCTCCTAATCGTTTGCTAATTTCAGAATTGTGCATTTTTGGATTTTCCTGTGCCATTTTTCTTCTTTGGCCTCTTGACCACACCATGAAAGCGTTCATTGGTCTTTTCACATGGTCATTATTGCTGATAAGTTTACCATTGTCAATGTTCATGTCCATGCTTCCCCCTCCACCGGACGGCGACAGATCCTGTGGACTCAACTCTCCGTTACTGCTCATGCTGCTAAAACCAGTTGTGACTTAACAACTGAATTTACAACGATCAGTGAGTTTACCTGGCTGAAACTGTTCACCTGTAATCATCCACGTGCTGTCACTAAATAATGTAGTTTACAGCAAAATGTAAACATTCAACTACGTATGTCTTGGGAAAATGTCAAACGAAAACACAGCTAGTGTTTAAACAAATGTTTCACAGTTCCTGTATGGTGACAAGATGACATCGGCTGTGTTCCAGTTTCAATATGCGAATCACCTGCTACAAACGACCTGATCGTGAGACATGGACAAGAGAACTACTCGGATTTATAACTTCAAAAGCTTAAATTACATTCTATCGACCTAAACTCACGCCCTGCAGAATCTGTGGTCTAATGATGTCATAAACAGACGAGCCCGCCAATCATTGCTAAAGCCGTGTGCTAGTCCCGCCCCCTCTTTTGTAATGGCGGTTTTAATTGGCTAGCGATAGTGAGCGGAGTGATGTTTTAACAGTGAGAGGCGTGAAGCAGTGTGTTGTTGAACACACCCTCAGGTATCAGTAACACTTTGACTGGTTAGAAAGGACACAATGCTCTAACACACTATTACAACCAAATAAAGCCTTACTGAATCGGGTAAATGGACAGCTATTTGTTTACGAGATACCGACACACAATTCGCGATCAGTTCGCGGTTTGCCGGCCACGTGCTCACGCGCTGACAACAATCTCTGACTAAGGCTAATTTACAGGCCATAAATTCATCTCAACATATCATTGTCTTGCCGTTATTTATTCCACTATTAGCTGGATTATGTCTTTGAGTTTGCTCCCTCCGATTCCGCCCAATAATTAAGGAAACGGTAGACATTTTCACACAAAATAACGGACTGTTCTTGACTATTGCAATAAGTAACGTAAGTAATATCTATTTTTGTTTAAATTTTCGAGTGTTGTAGTTTTGAAATAACGGTTAAATATGCTTATTGCACATTCGATGTGTATTATTTTGTACCAGAACATTTGTTCAGTTGTGCAGTTTAGACGAAATTGTATAGTACCCGATGTTTTCTAAGGCGCGTGCGTAGAATTAATATTCATTCTTGTTTGCTTAATAGTACTAAAGCTATTTGCAACTGATGAAAAAATGTCGGTATCATATTATTTCAGTTGAAGATAATCAAAATTTGTCAATAACACAATGTTACAAATTTCCTTCTTGGCGCAGGTGAAAATAATCTCCCCAAATATCACAAGCAAGATGTCAAAACCCCACTACTGTCAGTTACTTGCCTGATTGATGTTTTGAAAGCACAATTTAAAAATTATCACAACAAGGTTATGAGTGACAATCTTGGTGTACTGGTAATAATATGTCTGATAAAATCTTTTTACAATTCACCATTGAAATTGTTAATGATGCTATTTAAATGACACAGTTTACACTTATATCTTAACAGTAAATTACACTTATGTAATTATTGATATACATGTAAATAATAATAGATATGATAATATAGCTATATTACCTCCTACAATTTAAATCACTAAATGATATACTTATAAACAATATGTTTCAAGTTGAAATCTTAGTTCACATGTAAATATTATAATATTTTATATACAATTAATGGTAAGTCACCATTAAAATGGTGATCCTGATGAACAAGTGAAAAAAAATACGTTATAAACATGTAAAAATAAGCTTCAAAGGACAATCAATATTTATGCACGTGTAAATTACAGATCTTGTATACCGGTAAAGGTATCATAAATGTGGTAATCATAAAATGCGTGTAAAAATGCGTCTTGTAAACTAGTACCATTGCTAAACATGTTTTTCAGGTTGGAAAGGACAACACTTCCAATGTATATGAACCATTCAATACTTGTACATTTTTATTTGTTACGAAATAGAAGATGATACTTCTTATCTACAGCAAAGATAATATTACAATAATTTACTTTATGCACGAGCAACTTTGAATGACATATCTTAAATATCGATGAATACTATGTTACAAATGACAATTTCTATTCTCGTGTAGATTTAACTATTTGGATGAGTGTGTCACTCACACATCTTATATACAAACAACAGTAAGTTGCTAATCGACTTTCTTAATACATATAGGTAGATGATATATCTTACATACTTGTATACAAACAATAAGATAAGTTGCTAATCGACTTTCTTAATACGTAGGTAGATGATATATCTTACATAATTGTACCATTTCGTTACAAACTGAATTGTGTATAGATACAAACGTCATATATCTTACATAATAATACTAGTTTGTTCATATTTACAATCTGAAGGTGCCAGTCAATCATACATCTTAGGTACAAATAATTCTAAGTTGTATGGTGACGATCTTGATAAACGTGGATATGATATGTCTTTATATACTATTGTTCTAGTACAGTTAGATACAAATGTTATAATCTTACATAATGTTACTAGTTTGTTCATATATAACAATCTGAAGGTGCGTGTTAGTCATAGATATTATATACAAATAATACTAAGTTGTACAGTGACGATCTTGCTCAACGTGGATATAATATGTCTTTATATACTATTGTACTAGTACAGTAAGTTACAAATGTTACAATCTTACATAATACTGCTACATTGTAGTTTGTTCATATTTAAAATCTGAAGGTGCGTGTCAGTCATAGATGCTATATACAAATACTACTAAGTTGTACAGTGACTATCTTGATAAACGTGGATATAATATGTCTCTATATACCGGTACGTTTTGTCCCGCACTTATAGGTGACGCACAGTTAGGTACAAATGTCAATCTCTTATCATGATACTATTTTGTTCAGTTTTACAATCCGGAGGTGCATGTCAATCACATACATGTATTGACTATCTTAATACACATGTAAAGGATATATCTTTTATATACTGCTGATATTTCGTTACGATACAGATGTTATACATCTTATGTAATGGTATCACTATACTAAGATTTACAAGATTGACACACGAGTCAACCACAAAGTCTCATATATAAATAACACAAATAAATGTTAAATTGATACAAATGTAGATTACATATCTTACTGGTAACTTTTTGCTCCAAACTAAAATGTGTAAATACAAACGACATACCTCTTATATAATAATACCACAATGTTAAATTTAAAAAAATCTGGATGAGAGTTTTAATCACACAATCTTACAAAACACAAATTAATTGTACATTAACAATATGTAAATGCTATATCTTTAGTACTGATGTCATTTTATTACGAACTGAAAAGTGATGCACGTGCAGATGATACCCTTTATATAATACAATACCTCATTGTTCTGTTTTACAATCTAGATACGGGAGTTAATCACCCATCTGACATACAAAAAATAACACATATAAGTATTAAATTGACAATCTTTACATGCGCGTAGAATATGATTATATAGTACCATTTTATTACTGACTAAAAAGTGATGAGTGTAAATGATACCCTTTATAAAAAAATACCTCAATGTTACATTTGACAGTCTTGAATCACACAGCTAAAATAAAGGTCATACTATGTACTTGGTGCTGTGTAGCTTTGTATTAACGCTTATCAGATAGTATATTAACACTATTTCCTAATATGTAAAATGTGATAAATGGTTACATGCGTAAACTACAACAAATATAGCCATACAAAATATTAGCAGCGTGTTGCCGCAATACTCGTCAATCAATTCAGTCGTGCTAAATAAACGTACTTTCGTTTTCCAGGTTTCTTTACCAAGTGGATAAGGTATGTAGGAAGGTTAATAGTTCATATACTTCTAAATCATAGCAAGGTCAAAACTAAAGCACACAAAAGAAACAGAACGTTGACAAAAATATCGATGTTTTAAATGTTTTAATCGCACAGGAGCAACGGTGTAGTTTAGATTTACACATAAAAAGGATAGATAAGTGAGGACCCCGATACATGGTTCCTTTATCTTAACATTAAAAAACGATTCTATTAAGTATAATGCATGTGTATTTGTTTACAATTGTGATTGCAAGCTTTACATTTTTACCCCAAATGTAACAACAGTAGTAGGATCCTATTGATGTTAAGTCATTGTATATGCAACAGACAAATGCATTATCGGGATATACATATATTATCTTACCTTAAAAGAAAACTCTGAAAAAATATGTTAATCATTCACTGTTTCTTCCCAAACACTTATTCACAATTATTGGAATAAAAGCTATAGAAACAATGAAAAATGTTTGTTTATGGTTTTGTTAGTTGTATCAAACTTCTGTCGACAATGGTATTCGTTAGATTCTCTTCGTTGGTTTGCAGGAATCAGTGATGAACATTCTCCTGATTGATATATATATATATTTGTAATTGTATATCTCCTTCGATAAGCTTTGTTGTTCATCCCCCCCCCCTCTTTGGTTACAGTTTAAATTGATTTTAATGTCGACAACAAGCAAAAATAGAATACATTTTATGAAAACCAGACTTCAGGAGAAGCTTCCTTTCTTTTTACGTTCAATGTTTTAATTTTGATTGTTTAGTTTCTAGGAGTCACTTCTATCTAATCCAGCCCTAACATGACTAAAGAGATAGATTAAAACGAAGATATGCTGTAAAACTTCATGAAAAAAAGTTTATGGATGGGATTCCGTAAATGATATTCCTTTATATTGATAAAACAGAATGAAGCAATAAAGAATCCTTTGTCATCATTTGCCGGCGATTTCTTTAACAGATATCTACTAGGGGTGAACCAATGATAATTCGAAGTTCAATGTTTTGCTTTTGATGAAACAAATTTAGGTAATGAATTCAGGTGCCATACATTACAAAGAAACTTCATACTTTTGATGAGCACTGGTATTATCTCACTTTTAACATGGGTACATGATGTCTTTCCTTTTGTTTTGGTATTTCCTCACTCTATGAAGTTGTCATGTTGTTTTAATGTCCTATATTTGCCTTGACGATATAGTATATTGTCCGCTTGTGAGAACTCTATCGGACATTTCGGTATATTTTCCACTTGTGTTAGCTCTGTGGGACGTTATGGTATAGTGTCCACTTGTGTTAGCTCTGATGGACGTTATGGTAAATTGTCCGCTTGTGTTAGCTCTGTGGGACGTTCTGGTATATTGTCTACTTGTGTTAACTCTATGGGACGTTGTGGTATATTGTCCGCTTGTGTGAACTATATGGGACGTTATGGTATATTGTCCGCTTGTGTAAACTCTATCGGACATTGTGGTATATTGTCCGCTTGTGTTAACTCTATGGGACATTATGGTATATTGTCCGCTTGTGTTAACTCTATGGGACATTATGGTATATTGTCCACTTGTGTTAACTCTAAAGGACGTTGT